AAGGCTCAACTTAAATGTATACCCCAAATCAAAAACCATAGTAAGAAAACCCAAAAAGTGCCACCATGGTTTAACAACAATACAGAAGCAGTGAGAGATAAAAAGGCATAATTTAAAAACTGGAAGTTAAACCTAGTGAGGAAAATTGGAATGTTAGCAAGTTGGCATTTGCGCCTCCTGGCTGGGGAAATAAATCAGAAAATACTGGACCGCTTAGGTGTCCGGTATTTTCTGAATTTTTTTTACCGGACAGGAGGCAAAAATACCGGACTGTTCAGGTAAATACCGGACACCTGGCAACCCTACAAGCTATATAGAAACTTTCAAAGACACCATAATAAAGGCTCAACTTAAATGTATACCCCAAATCAAAAACCATAGTAAGAAAACCCAAAAAGTGCCACCATGGTTTAACAACAATACAGAAGCAGTGAGAGATAAAAAGGCATAATTTAAAAACTGGAAGTTAAACCTAGTGAGGAAAATTGGAATGTTAGCAAGTAGTCAGCTGGCGTATCAACTACTTCCTCCTTCCATCCTTGCTGTCTCTATGAGAGGCAGTGGGGGAACAGAAGCTGGTGCTGCGGGTACTGACTTAAAAGCTGGTTCCCTCCAGCACCGTCTCCATGGTGCAGCTTCCATAGTAAGAAAACCCAAAAAGTGCCACCATGGTTTAACAACAATACAGAAGCAGTGAGAGATAAAAAGGCATAATTTAAAAACTGGAAGTTAAACCTAGTGAGGAAAATTGGAATGTTAGCAAGTAGTCAGCTGGCGTATCAACTACTTCCTCCTTCCATCCTTGCTGTCTCTATGAGAGGCAGTGGGGGAACAGAAGCTGGTGCTGCGGGTACTGACTTAAAAGCTGGTTCCCTCCAGCACCGTCTCCATGGTGCAGCTTGTCCCCCCTCCCTCCCCTTTACTCCCTACTGCCTATATCAGAGACAGCTGGGGGAAGGGAGGGATAGGGGAAGCTGCTTCAGCAGCAGCTCCTGTCCACAGGGTCCCAGCTCAGTTCTGGCTTGTGCTGATTCCAGGAGCCCCTGTTCACGGCGGCCTGGGGGGGAAGTGCTGGCCACCACAAACAGAAGCTACTCCAGCAGCAGCCTGCAGCAGTCCCTGTTCATGGCAGACAGGGCTGGCTGCAGACAGGGGCTGCCGCCAGAGTAGTTCCTGCCCACGAGCAACCCAGGCCACCACGAACAGGGGCTCCTGGACTCAGTGCAAGCAGGACTGAGCAGTCCTAGCTTGCGCTGATCTGTGATGCTGCACCGCTGCATTTTAAATGTAGTAAGGACTGCTGGGCTCTTACTACGTTAAAATGCAGAGCTGCAGCCTGGGTGGCTCCTGGAGCTACCCGCTTCTGCAGCTCTGCAAAGCGGTCCTTATCGACTAATTGTGTAGTCAATACAAATTGTATCGACTACATGATTAGCCAGATAACTGCAATTTAACATCCTTAGAGGAACATAGAAAGAAGTGTAAACTCTGTCAATTGAAGTGTAAAAATATCATTAGGAAGGCCAAAAAGCCTTGAACAGCTAGCCAAAAGCTCAAATAGTAATGGCAAAAAAATGTTTAAGTATGTCAGAAGCAGGAAGACTTTAACTGGATTACCTGCTGCATTCCTCATCCTAATGACATAAAAAGCCAAGCACCGGGTACTTAAGAGTATTCAGAATCCACTCTATCACCTTCATTTAGCATGGACACACTAATAATTTTTTTCCCATTTTTTTCCTTCTCTTTCCTTTCCCATTCCCTCTCTTTCTTTGCTATTTATTTTGCAACCTGGACCCCTAACTCTATTCATCTGAAGTGGGTTGTGCCCATGAAAGCTCATAATACTATCTACATTTTTTCTTAGTCTCTATGGTCTTGCAGGACTATTCATTATTTTTTAATTTTTTTTCAGTCAAAAGGAGAGCTTTAGAGAGCTTCCTGCTTTTCCTTCCTCTCAGACAATCTTACGATCACTTAAGGTGGCTTTAGACCTCACAGGCCAGGATTCTGAATTCCATCCTAATTTTTAAGGTAACCATAAGCCACAACTCTCATTGTCTAATTAAAAATATTTCAAATATACAGTGCATGTTAGGTGTGATCTCTTTGAAAAGAATGGCAAAACTCTTGTTCATTACATTTGGGACCATCACCGGGCCTAAAATCTTGAGTGTCTAGTCTGCTACGCTGTTGTGGTGTCAGGATGGAAGTGTTAGGGCTTGTGAACCCTATTCCTTCAACATTGTGTGGTTAAACAACCAAATGAGCTCTGTCCTCTGTTTTGAACTGAAACAGATTTTAATTAGCATGTGCTAGCTGTGTGGGAACCCTCACGTACTGTGTTTCTGCAGGCTCTGAGTTCCTGTCTTCAAACAAAGTTTTCATTCCTACTTACAAAAAAACTTTTTGTTTAACAATTACTAGTTGTGAAGTAAAATTTTATATATTTTTATGCCAGTGCAGGTACCAAACATTGCTTTTTACCTACAAATATCAAATTAATTGAGTGCAGCTGAACCAGTTATTTCATCAATATTAATTTTAAAAATAGTGTCTTAACTGTTGATAAGAGGTGGTGGAGGAGAGGGAATAGCTTATTGAGTAGTTAAATATCTAAAAGAAATTCATAGCTGGAAAAACAGTTCTAAAATCTCTTCCTTGAAGCTGTAAGCTTCTGGAAGACTTCAGAAAAATATCCAAATAAAGTATACAGCCAATTTCCTCCTGTCTAGTTTATCCTATAGACCCACAGATTTTAGCACCTGGAGGGACCAGTGTGACTATTTAGTCTGACCTCCTGTATAAAACAGGCCATAGAATTTCATCCAGAGAGTCCCACACAGAGCCAGATAATTCTGTGGTTGAACTTCTCTGAGATTCCTGCCTTCTCTGCCTTTTGTAAAAATTCTTTGTACTATTACTGTGATAACTTGTAAACTTCTTTAGCAGATGAGGGCTAACGTGGCAGTGTAAATTCACAAGTAGCAGATGTTGCCTGATTTAAGACAGTTTGGCAATATTTGCTTATTCCACATGATCAACTGTCATTGTTTGGTGGTTGGTTATTCCAGTTCTAAGAAGTCTTAATATAACAAAGCAGCCACCCTCGTTACAGCGCTGTTTACTTGCTTATCTTCATGTTAAGAGAAGATTTGCATTAAAAATATGTTTGTTTGTTGACCACAAAATTTTCCACTCTGTTTTTCGTCCCACACGCACGTGGAATATTTGTTTTGTAACAAAGATAGCACTATTGTCATATCTGGAATAGAGAGAGGCCTTTGAACTATAGCCAGAAGCAGACCACGCTGGAAAAAGATGTAGCTCCAAAACAATACAACTGGCAAATCTCTCTGTAGATTTATAGTGTGATTTTGCCATAATATGAGAACGTGCTAACCTCCTGTTGAACTCTGCAAGAGGAAATGACTAATGCAAGGAGATAGTTGATACAATATTTATATTGGACAAAATTTATAAACTATCTTAAGCCAATTCTATAGCACAGGAAGCGGAGTCTTTATTATTCAGTTTCCTACAGAGATGTCGTTAAACACTTTTTCTTAATCAAATAATTTAATGCATGAATTTTTTTGCTAGTGCCAGAAAGCTTAATTTTTTTAAACTAAGCATGATCTGGGTTTTCTTGGTGCCCTGTAGAATTTGATAACCGAATGCATGAACTCTGAATATTGATACATGGGCATTCAACCTCATGCCTTAGAAATAGTTTGTAATGCACCTGTAAGAACCACCACATGTTCCTGGTAAAGGTCTCAAAAAGACTTAAGCAATAGTGTTCAAACACAAGCAGCTAAAGCTAGGCACCTAATTCCCAAAGCAGAGACCTGAATAAAAGTGTTTTCATACTCAGAGGTTCTGAATATCCAACACTCCCATGGACTTTCTTCAGCAAAGGGATCCATTTCTTCCTTTCATTCTCATGTTAATTCTTTCTTTCTCCACGCTACCCCCTTTGTGGAAATCACCCTGTCCAGTACTCATGTGCCAGGCTTTCACCCATTTCTCAGTCCAGTCCCTCTTCCACAAGACCCATCGTCACTAATCCCCATCATTAAAATGTCTTTCCTGCCTTATTGAATTGCCAGTTGAGAAACGGGGAGCAGGAAGAGATTAAAAAACAGGGTTTCTTTGTTTTAAATCCCTATTTCCTCTGGGTCTCCTAGGCATTCTTGAGGCAGTGCTATTTTATAGCACCATACTCCACTGTCTTGTGTAATAGAACAGAAAGCAATTTTGTATCATTTAACTTAATTGGAGAAAGTTGCAAACATTGCTTTTTTCCCCTATTCCTGTTGTCTTTGAAAAATATTTTGGTTTTCTTCATTCACTAACGTTTCTCTCCAAACCTTCATTGTTTCTTTTCAGTTTTTTCTCCTCCCACAGATGCTATTTTGCTTTACAGTGAACCTCCTAGCTCATTGCTTGACCTCCTTTGCAGAGTTTGCCAGTGTTTCCATTAGCGCACCTTACTAACAACTGTGACCTCCTTAGACATTTGCCTGCTCAGAAAGGATTATGAGTTTGTAGCAATGCAAATATGCTTTGCTTGCAATCCAGAAATTAGTCACATCAGGTGAGGCAGGCAATAGCCTAACCTCCCTGTGGCAGGCCTGAGTTTTAATTATAGTGAACAGCATAATTATTATACAGGGAGCAGTTTAGATTTATTTCACGCTGTTAAATTCCATTTATTTGTTACTTAATTTTTCCCTGTTAAGTGTAAACATCAAACTTGATTTCCAGAATGAAAATGAAATGCACCAGTGTAATGATGATGATAGTCGCACAAATGATTAGCATTAGAAAAGGAAGTGGCCAATTTCTGTATAGAATAGTGTGAATACAACCTGCTCCTTGGTCTGAGTCAGTATCACCTATTGTTGACAAGAAGTTGGTAATCCTTGCATAAAGTATCTTGCTGCCTGCGGTAGATAATTGAACCATAAACTTACACCATTTTCTTTCTCTTTCAGGATGAGTCAACAGGAGAAATAACTTTCTACATGAAGGGAGCTGATGTAGTCATGGCTGGCATCGTGCAATACAATGACTGGCTAGAGGAAGAGGTACATAGTAGTCTTTCTTTCTTAGATGTAGAATACTTACTTCTTCAGGCAAGTGCTCCTTATTCCATGGCTACACATGACTAAGTTCCTGCCTTACATTGGTGGAGCAGGCTAAAGTAGCTGTTAAAATGTACTTAGAAAAAAGATTGTTTGGTTTGACAATTTTGGTTGAATTAACCTGTAACCAGATACAGGCCCATCATTAGGCTACATCCACACTACAGCAGAACATCAACTTAAGGTATTCAGTAAGGTAGGTGGAGCTGACAATACCTTAAGTTGAGTTAATGCCAGGTCTACATCATGGAGGGTCAATGGGAGAAACTCTCCCATAGACTTCCCTTACTCTTCTTGTCTGGGGTAGAGTAACAGGGTTGATTGGAAAGCAACCTGCAGGCGATTTGGCAGGTCTTCACTAGACCTGCTAAATCAATAGCCAATGGATCAATCTCCTAGCATGGATCGCATCGGTAATGTAGAGGTAGTCTGTGTCAATTTAAAAGTAAGCCAAGTGGTGAATTCACCCCATTTAATCCAGGATAACTCTGGGAGTCAAAATGGAATTTTTCCAGGCTTATAGTAGTCACAGGTCCAGGTTTCTTATTCTTTGTCTGGTAACTCCTCTTTCTCACAAGATTTATCTCAGGTAATTGGGCCAGATTCTGCAGTTGGCTTTATTTTAAACTGCTGGGTCTGTTTACTTTTTGGAAAACCAAGAATTGCATTGTCTTTCTGTACCTCTCTGCTTAAACCCATTCTATGGTGCTGGTAGAAATAGTGATAGTCTCCACAATAGCAATATGGTTATTTTTGTATTTGACTACAAGCAATATTGTAGTATCCCTTCAAATAATTTGTGAACAAAAGATACAATGCTTATTGAAACCAATGGGCTTCCGTTCCCTCTTATTTTGGTATATATTCAAAGTAACTGAGATCAGCAAAGTAACCGAAGTCAGTGGAGTTGCTACACCAGTTTGACATTGCTGTGAAAGGAGCATCATTCCAGATCAGAGGTATAGCCTACAAACAGAAGTTGAGATCTCCTTTGGTTAATTTGTCATGCTGATGTTCTGGATTCAACAGGATTGTTTGATTGGAACAATTATTTTGTTAGAATTATATCTGCTGTTTCAATCTCTGAAACCTTGTATGTAAATCAGTAATGTGATGTGGGTGATTGTTTACAATATGACGCTTCTTTCCAGTGTGGTAACATGGCTAGAGAAGGCCTGCGGGTTCTTGTTGTTGCGAAGAAGTCCCTGACTGAAGAGCAGTATCAAGACTTCGAAGTAAGTTTGTATTTTTATAATCATGCAAGTGATGCCCACAGAGTTGTCATTGTAGTATCTGCGTTCCTCTCCCCACTCTGTCACATGCTGCTCTTCACATCAGCTAGAGGAAGGGGAGCTGACAGAATTGCTGGGCCCCTGGATCAGATGTGGGTGGGGAGGAGCTCTGTGTTCCCAGAAGGAGTAGGCCCACCATAATAGAGGCCCAACTTAAATGTATACCCCAAATTAAAAAACATAGCAAGAGACCTAAAACAGTGTCACCGTGGCTTAACCGCCATGTAAAAGAAGCAGTGAGGGACAAAAAGGTATCTTTTAAGAAGCCCACCATAATAGAGGCCCAACTTAAATGTATACCCCAAATTAAAAAACATAGCAAGAGACCTAAAACAGTGTCACCGTGGCTTAACCGCCATGTAAAAGAAGCAGTGAAGGACAAAAAGGTATCTTTTAAGAATTGGAAGTCCAATCCTAGTGAGATAAATAGAAAGGAACATAAACACTGTCAAATCAAGTGTAAAAATGAAAAGCAAAAAAAGATTTTGAGGAACAGCTAGCCAAAAACTCAAAAAGAAATAACAAAATGTTTTTTAAGTACATTAGAAGCAGGAAGCCTGCTAAAAAACCTGTGGGTCCCCTAGATGATCGAGCTATAAAAGGAGCAATCAAGGATGATAAAGCCATTGCGGAGAAACTAAATGATTTCTTTGCTTCAGTCTTCACGGCTGAGGACGTTGGGGAGATTCCCGAATCTGCACCGTCCTTTGTGGGTGATGAATCTGAGCAACTGTCCCGGATTGAAGTGTCATTAGAGGAGGTTTTGGAACAAATAGAAAAACTTAATGTTAACAAATCTCCGGGACCGGATGGCATTCATCCAAGGGTTCTAAAAGAACTCAAATGGGAAATTGCTGAACTATTATCTGTGGTTTGTAACCTATCCTTTAAATCGGCTTTCGTACCTAATGACTGGAAGGTAGCCAACGTGACACCAATATTTAAAAAGGGCTCTAGAGGCAATCCTGGCAATTACAGA